CAGTGGGTATGGTCGTATGTGTTTGTTGTCTGTAGAAAAAGTGTTTATAAAGGGCTAAGAAGAAACGAAGAAACAATGCGAGGGAGGTGTTGATGTCTTGGGTCCGTCATCGACCTGAGTGAGGTATATGAACAATCTGAAAACCAGTGTAAGCGATATAATATGTCCAACAGACCACCAAACTTCACGCAACGCAGCATTGCAAGCTGCCACTCTCAGTTATGGAACCGAATGCGAAGGAGGATGATATTGATGCATGATGGATAATGAATGAATGCCAAGAAAACCTATAGGAGAAGAAGAAAGAATCGAATACACCCCATGCCATCCCATTCCCAGCCAAACCCAACTATCCAACAACCCAGCCAACCCAAACAGTATATAAAGGTGATGCTTATCGACGACGAAACGCAACGCATGCATGCTTTTTCCTTTAAAAACACAACACCGACCGCCGCAAAAAACCAAAGAAATGAAGTATAAACAATACTGTGTCCGTAAACCCTGTTCGTGTACGTGTGTTTAGTCCAAACTTTCTTCCGCCCCTCTTGTTATCATGCCCGAGGGTACTGTTACCGGGTCTGTTCTTCCTCCGGACTTATGAATTAGGATGTAGCCAGCCTACTTCGACTGAGCATCCTCATGCATCGGCGCTGGTGGCTGTGCTGGTCCCGAATTATCCACGCCCTGCCAGCTAGGATCCCAACCCTTATCGGTATCGACGCCGCCCTTGGTCTCTCCCTCAATGACCATCTCCTTGACATCGCTCCAGAACTCAAGACGTCTAACTTCCTCGTCGGCTCTCTTAACGGCCTGGTGGAGGTTCTCTTCTCGTCGGGACTTTTTCTCTTCGAGTTCTTCGGGGCTGAGGGGTGGTGATCCTGGCGAGGACATCGCTCCGTCTGTTGGAGAAGTGGCATTCTCCTCGGCGGATTTGCCCTTGTTCTTCTTTTCCTTCTCTTGCCTCTCTTCCTGTTCCTTCTCCTTCCGCTCCCGCTCCTCGACAGCCTTGTCATAGACCTCCGTAAGTCTCGCCAAGAGCGTCCGTCTCGAAGCTTGGAAGATGAACATGGACATGATATCGTGCATAACGCCTGTCAGCCCTTCCAGGTTGTCATCGGCGTGCGCCAGGTAATTATCAACCGCCTCGATCTTTTCCCGATCAATCCTGCACTCCCTCAGCACAGCAAGCAGCTGTTCCACATCCTCAATATCCTCCACCATCTCATCCCTCTCATCAAGCGCCTCCGAAATACTCCGCATACTCGCCCGGCTCCGGCGCGAGTTCATCAGCGTGCTAGCCCGACTGGGACTGCGGCTCTTGCTGCGCGTCCTGCTCTTGCTCCGACTGCGGCTCCTCTCCCTGTTCATTTCTGCCGAAGCCCGGACAGTGAAGTACTCCGGGTTGAGCATGGAGGGGTCCTGTCCCTCACGCAGAGCATCATACCCGGCTGCCTTTTTCACCCGTTTTCGTATCCAGGCCCTCCTTCTTACGAACGAGTTCCACCATTTTGGCCGGTGCCATGAGAATTTCTTCCAGAACGCAAAGCTGTACTCCCACCCTTCTTCGTCGGCGTAGTCCTTTTCATGGTTTATGTGCCACTCGGCCCACACCCACTCCCAGGACGGATCGGGAACCTGCGCGTTGGTGATGTCTGTTGGGGAGGCCTTGTGTGCAAAGTTGGTCCACGCTGGCGGATCGAGGTTGCCGAGAGCTTTGGAGGAGAAGAGGGGTATGCCGCAGAGGAAACCGCCCCGCTGGTTTTCGTAGAGGATGTCGATGGCGGATTCGGGGGTGGTTAGGGATTTTCGACGGGTGCTGCCATTGGTCTCGCGGGAGGCCCTAGAGACCTTCGAAGCCTTGGAGGGCTTGGACTTGAGGGATGGGAAGGATAGTTTCCGTTCGACTTCGTTAGGGTCAGGAGTGGGTTCTGATTCGGTGATGTTAGTATCGTCATGGGACCCGACGGTGACTCGACTGTACGAGGTCAAAGTTGGTGAAGTTGGATAGAGTTGATGGACTCACGTTGGACGTAGACGGATGGACCATCCGGCGGTGCCGTAGCCTTCACGTCATTGTCTGCGATTGCGGTACCCTCGCTTGTTTCGATGCGATGTGGAGTAGCATCTCCGTCCTCTACTCCGGATCGGGAGTCGGTAGAGACGGAGAGCCGTTTCTGTCGGCGGGAACCGGAAGGCTCTGGGGCTGTTCGAGTGTCCCCGTTTGTGTTTGTGTGCGCAAGAGATTCCCTGGAGCTGGTTGGCGAGACGTCTTCCTTGTTTACCAAGGTGATTTCATGGTCGAAGTCGCTATCTTTTGGCGGAGATACGCGACGAGATGAACGACGGTTATGACGACGGATTTTGGGCATGGCTACTCGGTCACAACAAGCAACATAGCCGAGCTGTATGTAACAATGTGGACGAGGACAAAGACATCAAAGGACTTGGTTGACCCGATGGACCTGGCTAATGGCGTAGGGGTCGTGCCAATCGCCGTGGAGACCAGACGCGCTCTCTCTCTGGGGTCAGCGTCGTGTGTTTCTTTTTTCGTCTACCTGCTGCTCATAGACACGGACATCCGGATTGGAGCATGTAGATCTCAATGGAAGACTCGGGGTCCAGGGGTTCGAGAGTGGACGGCAGCAAGCAAGCAGGCAGCCAGGCAGGGCGTTTGGCTTGCAGACGGGATTGATGCAGGTTTGGATGGTCGACTGGAACGCCGACTGCCCGTGGAACTGTGAGGAGAAGTCAGTCAGGCCACACTGCCACGATAACATGTTCCAAGACGCTGGGCTAGACTCTGGAGGCTGGTACCAAGAGTCTCTAGCAAGCGCAACCGAAAGGGCCTGTAACTTTTGGGTTCATGTGCTCAGTCGAGCGCGTCCACCCAATGATGTAATTTAGCTAGGCAGGTGTCCACAGTGGCTCCAGTGAGCTTCAGGGCTGAGTATCGTGCATTAACATTTTCGAAGAAGCATTCTTGAAGTTCTCAAAGACAGTTGAATGGATTCTTCGAATGCGGCAGTAAATCACCCATGAGATGCTGAGCCTAAAGGGTATCGAATATTTCCAGACGTCCAAATTGCTTTGCTGGACAACGCATGAGTCTCATTTCTTTGATCAATCAACACGTAGCATTCATAACTGTTAACAATTGCCTGCCAGAAAGCCAGAAACAACATCCCTGCCCTTACCTTAACCGTACAAGTGGGTCCAAATCTGGTCTTGGCATCCACACGTTTCCCCATTCTATCAACGGCCCCGCTCAGGGACAGAGCGACACTACGTCATGAATTGATGATTGAATGAAGTGGATGGACGGAAGGCACCGCCGGCTTGCTTGACACAAGCAGCCGCTTGAAGCAAGAACGCAAGCAAGAAGTAGCTCCAACTTGGAATTAATTGGAGAAAGTTGACGGGACGGGAAAATAGAAACATGAAGGATGACATATGCATTTTGGAGTACTGCCCGCATGTGTAATACAAGTATATAATGTCGTCCACCTCACCCAGACCACTTACACACATCAACATCACAACACAACAACAACAACACAACCAAACCATCACTCGAAAAACCAGCTATCGCGATAATCACTCAACAACCTACACAAACTAAAGTTTAATACCACAACAACATCCAAAATGTCTCAGTCTCGCGTTCTCCCCATGCTCGGTGCCGGCGTTGTCGGTCTCGGCGGTTACTACATCTGGAAGTCCGGCGGCAGCCCCTCCGCTGCTGAGAAGAAGTTTGAGGGTACGTTCTTCTGTCACCATCACCACCACGCAATTCCCAACAATCGCGCAACGAAGCTAACTCAACTCTTAAACAGCCGACCTCCACCGCGGCGCTGCCAAGCTCAAGTCCGAGATCCCTCGCACTTCGCAGACCGACGCTCGCTCAGAGGGCGCCGAGTACGGCAAGCAGATCGGTAGTAAGATTGATGAGGCTGTACGTGTCCTACTATCCACTACCAAACCACAACCGCCATCCGCAAGTAAACAGACGCTGACAGAGATAATGCAAACAGGTCTCCCAAGCAGACAAGACCTACTCATCAACCAAGTCCCAAGCCGAAGCGCTCGCCAAGGACACCAAGGCCGAAGCGCTCAAGAGGGTTGACCAGTTCGACCGCACCGTGGAGCAGAAGGCTGCCGAGGTCAAGTCTGGCGTTTCCGGCTGGTTCGGTAGCGGCAACTCCAAGTAAACGGACGACACTTTTTTCTTCGAGTAAACGGCCGAAGCCACAACAGCAACAAGTGCGCGGGAGGAAGGAAGGAAAGCATATCAGGCGTTTTCACTCTTGCTTTGATAATGATGAAGGGTTTATGATATCATGAATGAAAGCGAGTTCAGTTCCGGGTTGGAACTTACTCGGTTTAGGGTTTCCTACCATGGGGTTTTCTAGGACTTCTTTCTAGGAACATTTAGTTTAAGAAGGAAGTTAATTCGAATAATGCGAACCACTGCCAAACAAAACAAACACAATCCAATGGCGGTGATATTTGTTGACTTGGACTGTGACTGAATCAATTGTTCTTTGCGCTGCTCTATAAAATGTCCACCTGGTCCAGTGCTGACAGATCACGCTTCCAGCCTCAACACCACGTCGAACATTATAAAGTTAACAATAGCCCCTCGATATTCTTCACCTTCCAGTGCTTTCAGACTATGACTCATCGAATGGATATTTGTGCTCTAGAGTATTTACTCATTCCAGAGCTGCCCGCCCAACCCATCATAAACAACACCGCATTAACATCACACAAACTCTCCCTATTGCCATCGAGCCATCCTAAGACAACGTCTCCGCAACCATCTTCAACACCTCGTCCGTCTTCTTCCCCGCATTCCTCGGATCCTTGGCCACTCGCGTCCACTCTTCACCATGCCTAGGATCGTTAAGAACACACTTGGCCACCAAATCCGCCCTCTTCTCCTCCGTCCCATGCTGCACCAAGAACTTGTAATACCACGCCCACGTATCGCCCACATCGCGATCCAGCAACAGCGCCTTCTCGAACCAGTTCTGCGCCCTGTCAAGCTTGCGTTCCGCCCACAAGATTCGCGCGGCAGTTACTAACAAAATCGGGTCGTCTTCCACCTTCTTGACGGCTTCTGCGAGCAACGACTTGCGCTGCGTGCGCGGCTCAAGATTCAAAATCCTTTCGGCCCATAGCAAACCGCTCTTGGGCATCTGCTGCAGCGCTTGCGCCATGAGCGACTTGGCTTGGTTGAGGTTACCGGCGCGCCGCTCGACGCGGATGAGTTCCGTCCAGAGCTCCGGAGACTTGGGCACGGCTTGGCGGGCACGGTCGAGGACCGAGCGTGCTTTCACCACGTTGCCGGCCTTTTCTTCTAGACGGGAATACAATAGCCAGAGCGGGATGGAGGAGGGAACGGCGCGCACGCCGGTACTATAAGCTTCGCGCGCAGGACCAGGTTGGGAGAGGTCTTCGTAGATTTGCCCCTTTATCATCCAGAGCTTGGGCTTGGCAGGGAAGAGTGGAAGCGCTTGTTGGACCAAGTCCAAGGCAGCTTCGTTGTCTCCCTGCTGGCGCTCGAAGGCAACGGAACGCATCCAGACGCGGTCGGTGGGCGCGTTTTGGCGCGCCGTCTTGAGGAGTTCGCGCGCCTTGTCGATGAAGCCGTTGTCGGCTTCCAGCTTGACGGCCGCGAGCCAGATGTCTTCGGAGTCGGGGTTCTGCTTGAAGGCGCGGGCCAGGACGAGACGGGCTTCGTCGACGCCCGCGTCGGCGGCCTTTTCGCGCGCGAGCATGAGCCAGAAGACTTCGTAGTGGGGGCAGGCCTCGACGGCCTTTTCGAGCGCGTGCCAGAGGTCTTCTTTGCTGCCGTGGTTGCGCTCCAGGTCGATGGCGGCCGTGTAGAGGGATTTGCTGTTGGGGAAGACGCGGATGGCGTAGGCGTAGATGGCGCGCGCCGTGGCGAATTTGTCCCGGTTGATGGAGGCACGCGCATCTTCCATCCATAGCTCCTTGCGGTCGTCGTCCTCGTCTAGACCCCAGCCGAGCGTCTCCTCGATGATGTTGCTGCAGGTAATGACGGCGCCTTCCTCTTCGCACTTTTCCGCTTCGGCGATCCATTCCTCGCGCTTGGGCATGGCGTTTTTCTTGGCGAGGAACTTGACGGCGTTCTTCATCACTGGGCGCCTCTTGCCTTCGCCTAGCTGTTCTTCCAAGCGCGCGGCGGCAATCCAGAGTTCATGCGAGTTGGGAAGCTTCTTGACGGCCTTGTTGAGAACCTTCCGGGCGTTTTCCGGGGTCTCGAGACGGGCCAGTGCCAACCAGAGGTCGAGCGACTCCGGGATGAGCTCGGTCGCCTTAGCTAGTAGAATGCGGGCATCTTCGACGTCCTCCTCCAGGTTGACAGCCTCCTTCCATAGTGCTTCGGACTCCTGGTTATGATCGAGAGCTCTCCTGATGACCTTCTTCTTTGACCTTGGATCATTCTCCAACTTCATAGCCTCCACCCATAGCTTGACTGAGTGTGGGTTTGCCTGAATAGCCTGTGCCGCAATGACCTTGGCGTTCCGGTTATCGTTCAGATGAATGTTTTCCAGCCAGATATCCTCGCTCTTGGGACAGTGTTCGCAGCCCTTTGCGATTAAGCTACGGGCAGCACCAGGCTTTCCAGCCGCAATCTCCAATCTAGCCGCAGCAATCCAACTGGCTGCCTGTTTCGGGTTCGAGTCGACAGCTGACTTAAGCATCTTCCGGAACTGTTCAATGTCGCCAATGCTCTGTTCCGCACCCTGCATGCTCGACAAGGAGGTCAAGTAGCCCTTGGGGTCGATACTTGTCGCGCTTCCCGCCGTTGCCACGGTACTTGACTGTGATTGCTGTTCCAAACGCGCCCTCAACACCTTGTCGCGGGCCGCGCCAATCTTCGCGAAATCTGTAACTGCGCCATCCTTGTTGACGCCCTCGGTAGCGGTGCCGTCTTCTGCAACGGTGGTTCCGAATTGGCCGGCATCTCTCGCGGCAGCTAGGACACTGTCGGGAACGGCGTAGAAGCGTTCCATGCGGGCCTGGCGTGCCCTCTTGGTCCGGCCGGTAAGGTCCTTGGGGTCTGGTAGGTTCGCCCATTCTTCGTCGGTAACCGTCTCGAGCGCTCGTTTAAGGCCGGCAAATTGCTGTTGGATCTTTGGGTTCTTTCGTTCGTATTCTTGTCGTTCGGCTTCTTCTCGTGCTTCCCTGTGAAAATGCGATTTCTGGTCGGTACTCTGCTTTTCATCTATCTTGACCGATAAACCACATGCTTGCTTGACTGGGAGAGTGTATTGTGGCAGGGAAGGGGCGGCTTGTGAATGGATGTAGATGTCAAGTGAGGTATAGGAGGTGATAACTAACCTTTGCTTCTGTCGCCGCTTTGCCATTCTGTCGTCTACCTCTTTCCATATCCGGTCTGCCTCTTCGTCGTCCTTCTCGTAGATGCCGCCGGCAAACAAACCAACTTCGTTGTCGGGATCCTGATATCGACCATCGTCTTCGTTGTCGTCGTCCTTGGCCTCAGTAAGACCCAGCTGCGCAGATCTCTTCGCGACGGCCGCCTTGATCTGGTCTTCACTAGGACCCTCGCGCGCGGGGCCAAGATCGGATCGTGTCGTGAAACCTGTCGCACCACGACCGAGACCGGCGACGTAGTTCTCGGGTGCGGGCTGGCTAAGGAAATCCCGTCTCGACATGGTGACGGTTTTCTAAGAAAATGTGGTTGTAAAAGGTATTGTAGACACGCGGTGCCTGGAGTTGTGACCGTGTTGGCCGTAGAGGTAGCTCCAAACATTTGAGTTGGCGGCAAAATACCGGCAGGCTGCAAGTCGAACTCCACTGAAGCCTGCCCCCAGCACAGTGTTAATTATGGAGTCTATGACTCCACTTTTCGTCGCTTTACACTGTCGGCGACTGTTTGTTTACTTTCCTCCTTTCACGGTCTTTCCCGACCATCACCATGAGCTGACGATAGCGAGTTCCTCTTCGGACTTATCACAAGCGATAACGATACCTATGACCTCAAGGTGGTCACTGCCGCAACGCTTTCTTGTCCGTAACCTAGTTGTGCGGAATTTATGTAGACTTTTGTCTTCCAGATTTTCTTCCCATTTTCGACTTGATGGCCAACCCAGGGGCACTTGTTGCCCAATTACCGTTCTCGATACCGTTCTCTTTTCCATTTCCTCAACGTTCTCGTATTGACTTAAGGCCATCGATTTTGTCCTCCGTTACTGCGTAATTTGGGTTACCGAAATAGTTTTCCAAAGAGCCGATAACCGTCCATGCAACTTATGTACTCAACCTGGTTGCTCAAGCTATTGTGAATGAACACATTGCTCAAGACAATAATTCTCAGCCGCCATGGCTTTTTAAGGTAGAGACCGGAAGTGCTCCATGCGAGAATCCGAACTTTGTGCAACTGCCTGCTAATTCGATTTGCTTAGATATTCACAGCGTTGTCTGGCCATCTGATGTATGGTTGACCATGATCAAGCGAACTACAACGAACGTGCTTCGAAGTGTGTACTCGGACCAGGTCCGCCAAAAATAAGCCCTACACATGATCGTAAAGCAGACATGAACGTTGTCTGGCTTTTGATCATGGCTTCTTCGTCAGGTCACCTTGCGATTTTAAGATAACCCTTGGAGCACGCGCTTACGGGAAAATGTCTAGGGCTCGCTAGGGCATGGCACACCCACTTCCACCACGACGCTCGCCACCCTTTTATGCCATATTGAGCACAACGCCCAATGACAAGATAAACGCTATGAGATCTGCAGTTGAAGAGCGACTTCAGCAATTCACCCGGGTGTTTCAAAATAGGGACTAGTTTAGACTATAAGCCTTTACATCATGTGGGGGTTTGGATGATAGGACTCCACGGCTCTCCCCAAGTCGGAAACTATATGTATGCCCCATGAGCAGCATTGGTGGCACCTACATTCCTTTTATTGCCTTCTCCAGTTGTTCCTTTGTCTCTACTTTTTGTTGAGATTGTCGACCCTGTATACACCTCATCCAAGATGGAAAAGCAGAGCAAAAGCCACATTATCCAATACACCAAACAACCACGACTACACAATATCTATGATGTGTCTTGGAGGCCAAGCGGTCTCAGGCGGTTCCCATGATCTGGAGTTGTTCCATTAGTCCTTAGTGTCTGCTGTAAGTCCTTATTACTCTCTTTGATCACTCTTGCACAACTCCAGCTATGGCAGTCTTGAAGAGGTCAACCTTACCTTGCGGCTGACACGATGGCTTAGGTACAGGAGTCGCGATAGGCATAGTCCTCGGGAGTAATGGTAGACTGGAGAAGAACTGGTCCGGATTCAAGCAACCTGGGGTCCTGTTGGCTTACACATCGACTCTTGCAAATTTGTTGATGGGGCTTGCATTCGCTCAAGCAACTGTGATATTCTTTTATGTCCAAGCGATGGCACCTTCACCAGTTGAGTCTCACCATATATCAACAATCTATAAAGCATTCACTCACAGAGTATCAGATGAGCAATCTTCACTACAACTGGGCAGGCTCCTCTGGCATCTTAGGAGTACTCAAGGCTATATCGCATGGAAGGGCCATTCCTGTCAGTCTCGGTAGGTGCCTTTATTATCTTTGCTCTGTTCATTTCGTAATCTTAGTCGACAAGGTACAATGCTGGTCCTAACATATGCAGTGACCATTCTCGTCACAGTCACAAGTCTCCTTCGTGGTCCTCTAATGCAACGAGCCTCTTCCGTCCAAGTTACCGAAGAATCACGTAACGGTGTCATCACTTTGCCCGTTGCTTACAACGCCATCAATTTCTGCGGTGGTACGCTGAATTCCGCGGACGATAATCGGATTGTCGGTTAGTTTTCGCCCGGACTCTCTGATGTGACTCGGGACTTTCTAGACAAAGCACCTATTCGAATTCCCAAAGCTCAATGCGATAACTGCACGTTGACCATCAAGGTAAGGGCTCGTGAGGAAAATGAAATACAAGCGACTACCTCTAGGTACTTCAGAAGTGACTAATCACGAGTCAAGCATTAGGCATTCGGCTTCGATGTTGTAAACTGCACACAAACAAGGGCCGAGGCGTACGACTACGGTTATCACTACCTTCCTGAGAAAATCAGGGACGATCAACAATCTGAGAAAAGACTCATGTTCGAATCCTGGGTCGGCATATCGAATGGTGGAAATTCAGGGATATCGCTGGTGGTCGCCACAAGCCGGAAAGACTCGAGCGGATGCACTGGTAACATCCTCAACCATACCTGTTATCTGAGCCCTTCAGCAATGCTCTATGACAACAGTCTTCAGGGTGAAATTGCAACTCTGCGGTCGAAAAGCTGGCGAGACGACTCTCTTGCGGAATCCGTGTAAGTTGCTACAAAACCCCTACCCAACCTACATACCTATCCGTCTACCGGGTAGGTTTAGCTGACATATCATAGGTCCTTTTACGCCGACAGCGTGGGCAACGAGGTTTCCTCTGGGACCATTTGGCTGCCCCTTTACCAAATAGGGCGCCTACTCTTCACCTCGAGCGCATGGGTGACATACAGCTTCGGTTTCTATCAACACTTGTACAATGAAGGACTTATCGCCAACCTCTACGCGGCAAACTGGAGCAGCACTGACCCGAACGATGGGTGCGCTCAGCACTTTCACGATCCCATGGATTGCATCATCAACAGTTACCGCGACATAGCCTTTCGCATGTCCGTCCGCTCTGCCGCCGACCCTATCTACGATTCCATGGGTAAACAGCTACCCCAGCCTGTGCAGACATGAATTCCTTATACCTGCCATTTCACTCAAGTACAATACACCTCTCACATTCCAGCACTCATTCTCGCAACCCTCGTCGGCCTCGCCGGCCCCCTGCCTACACTCGTGCTTTTCTGGGGCTGGTGGAAACTAGGCAGAGACTTCACAACGAGCCCTCTGGAACTCGCAAACGCGATTCTTCAGCCACAACAGCCAAGGTTCGAGCTAGGCGCGAGCGGTGGCATGGCGGAACAGAATAAAACGGTGACCGAAGAAACGTTAACGGCTGTCGGATACACGAGCAGTAGTGGTGAAGGATACCCTTATTATCGCCATCAATGTGGTGGTCAACACCTGGCCAGTGTCTTCACCAGCTGTAGCGGCAACGCCTCGGCCGACCGACTGGCCGAGCATTTCAGATGCCTCGGTCGAACTGGGAATACCGACAGCGTTGTGAACGAAGGGGAACCAATGGTGCAATACCATACGGTCCAAAGTGACGCTGGGGAGCGTCTTGGTTTTGCCGTGGTGTCTGGTCCACAGGGGGCTGATGCTCTTCATCATCCCAAAAATGGGTGGTTGTTTTGAAACATTCAAGCATCCTTTTTGCATTGTTGATTTCTGGTTTATAGGGATACAGAGAAGCGTAGATAATCACATACGACCATACCCA